TTCGAAATTTACTTAAATTTGAGAAACTTTATCTAACTGTTCTCCTTTGTATATATATACATAAACTTTACCTTGGAAACCCAGCTTTCCCTGGAAACAGAATTTTCTCTTTAAAAGTTGCTTCACTAAAATTCAGCTAAAAATTCTTAAACCTAGCTTTGAATCACAGATCAAAATTTGAGGCATATCAGTCAAGCTTTGCATGAATTATGATCATAGAAATAATGTTATCTATTTGTATTTTGCTTGTCTGTTTGCTTGTATCCAATAAACGTCAAAACAGCAGAACCGGTAGGGCCCAAACTTTGTGTTGGACCTGAAATGACCTCGGCCAGGGAAGGTTTGTGAATGCTCAGAATTGGAAATTTTGGTCTCCAGCAAATTTTATTCTGAAAAATGTGGAAATTCAAAGAAACAGTATTATTAATTCGCAAACTTTTTTATTATTGTTGATGCTTACAAATAGAGCAAGAGTTAAAATCTGAAATAAAAGATGGTAAAATAACAGATAGGACACTAGATGTCGTATTTTCAACGTCTATTGTTGTTCACAATAACACGGAGACAAAAGCCCAAAGGAGTTACGTAGAACAGACTCAGAAAGTCTAGTAAATAAATAAATGTATAAGCTAAACATATACATTGTTTATGAATCAATTTAAATGGCTCTGGATTGGATCATATGCTTGGGTTTCGATAAATGCAAAATTGAGAAATTTCGCCTTTCAGTCAATCCCAGGAAAACATCAAACAGAATTCATATTATCCATTTTCCCTACCATGCATGTTTAGTTTAGGGGGGGGGGGGGTCGTTAAACACAAGATCAATCCTGCTAAGATGACAAGACCTCAGCGACCTCAGCCTCAGCACAAACAACTTAAATATCTCCTAAATTAATTAATGAAAAATCCGCGATATTGATCCAAAGTGAACCCCTTTACCGTACTAAAGCAAAGCTAATGCTTTCCTGGATCAAGTAATTCTTAACTTTCCTGGATCAAGTAATCCTTAACTTTTGAGTAGCAAGTCCGATTCACAACAGTACCCTTAAAAACTTAGCATGCAAAGGAAAGAATGAAATGTCCATGTCCATCACCCCTGTATGCCGAGTCCATTAGCGCCTAATCAAATCAGGGTTCAATCATGTGTTTGCTGTCTATTCTGAACCAATAGAAATTGCATGGTGGTAACATCTATCTTTCTATCTATCTCATTTTCCAATCAGAGATATGAATCCTTGAATCGGCGCTATCAGTAAATGGAAATAGTTACTTCTACTGAAACTATAGTGATCTGACGGCCAATTCTTTAAAATCTGTTTTATTTCTTCTGTTTTTTAACATTTTTATTATCGATTTTGATGGTTATTTTTCGTTAGAACTGACGAGGGTCAACCCAGACCGAAATATATTTTCAATCAAATTTTGAACTAACATCTACTTTATTTGCTCATTTTAAATCACGATCAAAGAAACCAGGCACATGCACATCTTTAATGGAGGCCGGTCACTTGAAATTTTATAACTTAAGCCCTTTTAAAGGGGTTATCTGCGAATAAGGAATATTAATTTAATTGGATATAGATCGATACCTAAAAGGTCGATAAAAGAAATTGAATACTTTAAGAAGAAGAAATGTTTACAGTGGACTGGGGTCAATTTGAATTTGAATCTGACCGACACCTTGTACCGGGCTCAGTGGGGCAAGTACCGGCCCAACCCTTTTCCGATTAGATTTCAACTTTGTTGTCGCCGCCAGACTTATTACTATACCCGGCCTATCATAGACCTGTTTCACCTATCCCACTTATAGCTCAGTTTAGTGTGCTTTGTGTGCCACAACATTGTTTCCTACCTACCCACCACTTCTTTTTTTAATCCAAACATAACATTTCTGAAATTTTCTTTTAATAATAAAAATACTATTTTCTGTTGCGTATGTCTACCGTTTTTTATTGCAGTATTTCTATCTATCTAACTATCTATCTATCTATCTATCTATCTATCTATCTATCTATCTATCTATCTATCTAACTATCTATCTATCTATCTATCTATCTATCTATCTATCTATCTATCTATCTATCTATCTATCTATCTATCTATCTATTTTTCTATCTATATATTTATCTACCTTTAGATAGGTGTTGCATACTAATGGGATTGCAATGTATAAAATAAACAATGAATTATATATATGTATATACATGCATATATCTGAAAGATGAATAATAATATACTCTAACTAAATCTAAGTTCTACTGCAGACAGTTGAAAAAACAAACTGTTGATATTATTGAAAAAATCTAGCTATTTTTATCCAAAACACGTACTCTAAACAAATGTAAAGGGTTTATAAGCATAATTCTAATGTGCCCTCTTGGCAAATTGCCCAGGTAACAGCGGTACCCTTGAATATTTGATCAATATTGACGAAGATACTGTCGTTTTTCTAGGTTTAAAAGTGTTTGTTTTTGATAATTCCTATATGTTTTCCTGCAGTAGAAATGCGCAAGTCACTTTTGTAAAGAATGTACAAACAATAATAATCGATTTTTTAAAATTACAAACATTGATATCTCTAATTCAAACTTCATTAAACGAAGCTTATGAGGTACCGTTGTGAATCGTGCGATGTCATCTTTGTGCGGAGGTTTATTTAAAATCCATGCCTACAATCCCTTTAACCCTATCCTTGCTGGGGTACTTGAAAACCAGGATATGCTATCTTAGTTTACTAAACCCAAAGAGAATAGAATATATGTACACTGTATACATCTTCCAAATGACGTCACAGTGTTCCTGAAGGCACTTAATTTTCAGCAAGAAATACATACATATCTTCGTCGCTGTTTTTTATCAATGATTTAAGTCAAATGAAAATTGTCTACGCGTTTAAGGGTTTGTTTACTAAATCAATAATTGTTGTTTTTAAATCAAAATTTTGTAAAATGCAGGATTTAAGGTGAAAAATTAAAGGACACCCCCCTCTCAGAGGTTTAAGGATTTTCATGTTTATTTGTTGATTTTCAGAAAATAAACAACTTTAAATGAGTTTCAAAACATTATTTTGTATTGGAATTAACGCTAGGTAAAGAGGGGAGGGGGGGGGGCAGTTATAAATTTTTTTTTGTGATCAGAAAAAATTTTGCTTCATACAACTTCATACAACACCGAAAAACTCTGGCTCCTTTGATGTACCGGCCCGACTAGGCAGCTAGAGCTAGTTATGTGTAGTACACAAGACGCATACAGCCTACTATATTTATTTAGAGCATCTTTAAAGCTAAAAATCATTAAATGTGAAAAAGCGATATCCATCCCTAGCTAGGCCCTGGTGGGGAGGGGGGGGGGTTAAATAATCAAATAAACTTGTATTCCCACACCTCTATAAATACACAAACAAGCTATAGGCCGGTCACTTACATCCATATAAAGCCCAGCATATTTAACATTCATCTAAACTTTTAGAACATCATAACATTGTGTTCAACATATCGAAATTAGACGTAGATAGTTCGACCCATAAAATGCGCTATGCTAGAATTGGCGCACACGTAGATAGTTCGACCTATCAAACACTCATTTAGAATTGACTCACATGTAGATAGTTCGACCTATCAATCACTCTGTTAGAGTTGGCTAATTCGTAGATATTTCGACCTATCAAACACTCTTTTAAAATTGGCTAACACTTTGATAGTTAGGCCTATTAAATACTCTGTTAGAATTGGCTCACATATAAATAGTTCGACCTATCAAACACACTGTTAGAATTGGCTCACACGTAGATAGTGTGACCTATCAAAAACTCTGTTAGAATTGACTTACACTGAGCCGGCGATTTAATAAATTCAAGAAAATGGGACTCATGTCTAAGCTGTCGTTGGGCCTTACTTACGGCTTAAGCTTTCGGATTTAAGTTGCATCTAATTTTCCACAGAGTTGAGTTCATAAAACCGGTTTAATATTGTATTTGCCAGAGATTTTTATGGGTTGAATTGGCGCATTCCGGGTTTTGATGAGAACAAGATTCAACATTGATCCTGTTTCTCCACTAAAACCAATCAAGGTCGGTTTTATTTTCATTGGGCCTAAATCCGTAAGGCAATCACGTGACACAAGCTGTCGTCAGAGTTGGGTCTAAGATTGGGTCCCATCTTTAACATATTGAAATCACTTCTTTTGAATAAATACTTTATCTACAGTGGTGGTTAAAGAGACTTTATTAAGCAGAATTTCAAACGACCCTGGCCTCCTTGTAAACCGGGTATTTCCATCTTTCAATGGAGGGTCACTTGAAATTACGCTTACAGTCCCTTTAATATCTTTAATCAAGGTTTTCATACAAGAAAAATTATTTCACAGGTGTGCTCTTCTTTTGTACTGCAGTGTACTGTCTCTGGGCGGTAATGTAAACACATAAAAAATCAATGAAATATTCTGGTCATAGGAAACTATTATGTAAATTATCTAAATTATACTCGGATACTAAACGAACAAATTTACAAATTCAATATGTACACAGAGTATACACAATTGCATTTAACTTTCCTTGCATTACAACCTTGTCTTTGATCATAAATCTATTATTATGGTTTTCATATTAAAAACTATTAACCCGATCTGTTTTCCATAAAATTGGAATCCAGAAACTTGAAACGTGTCAAAGTCCGACAACTTCCTCCAAAATTATTTTTAACGAGAAATCACGCTTGGAATTATGTTTAATAAGCCCTTAGAAGAAATTGTTTACAAGAAGACATTATTCAAAGTGTCCCAATAAACATGGGATTTGAGAGTGACGAAATTGAGATCGTCTTTTTTAAAGAATTAGCTTTGTAATTATAGCTTTCTCAGTAGGTAGCAAGGTACTTAATCAGAAATCATTTAAAAAGACGATCACGATCAATTCCCAAGTTTATTGGGACACCCTGTAGTATGCTAATTTGTGAGAACCAAAAATCAGTATCAGTATCTTTTTTGAATCTGGTTTTTACCTGTTCTTTCGAAACCGGAAGTCAGTTGTATCTGTTTCCGTTTTCTTCTTCTATCCGGATATCTAGGTTTGGATAGAGTCTTGTTAAGGCTGGGATTGAAATGAATCGTTTTCACTAAATCCGAATAAACAACATTTTTATCTTCTACGCTTGAGTTTGGGTTGGGTTGATGGGAGAAGGGTTGAGACGTGAATTCATCTATTCCTCTTTTTTCTTCAAGGTGTTCCTGGCTCTTCACCTTTTCCGGGCTGTCTTGGATTTCGGAGATTTTCTGGATTTCCAGGTTCTTGTGGTTCTCATAGTTTTTCTGGCTCATCTGGTTCTTCTGGTTTTTCTGGTTTCCATGGTTATCCTGGTTTTCCTGGTGCTCCTGTTTCTCCTGGTTCTCCTGGTTCTCCTGGTTCTCCAGATTCTCCTGGTTCTCCTTGTTCTCCTGGTTAATATTGGTCTGAGTATCAAGGTTTATAAAGATTGATTGTTCTAAAGATTGAGATGGACTTTTCTCAACAGAATTTAATAATTTTCCATTAGTATCTCGTGTCTTTCTCGAGCTTTGGGAACTACAGCCTTGTCTAGTTTCTCTACAGGGTTTATTCTTTACCGATTCCAAACTTTTCCGATCCGAACCCGCTTCACTCTTCTGTTTATTAACATGTTCTCTTGGTTTTAAATCAAGGTTTTCTAAAGGTACCTCCCGGGAAGGGTTATAAAATGAATGAGTTGTATAACTGATTGATCTTAAAACCGGTTTTAAATGTTTATCTATATTCGGTGTGGGGAATCCACTGTTTATAGAGTCAATGTTTAGATTAGAAATATCTTTAGAAGTTTTGGCACTTTTGCAGTTAACACAGCGGGGTTCTCGGGGGTCTAATAAACCTTCAAATTCAAAATATTATTTTTGAAAAAACTGAACAAATTGCAACTTAATATAGGGTTACCCACAAAGGATTAGACTTTAGAGGCGACAGTGCGGAATTTATTCAGTCTTCGTTTTAAATTCAAAACTTGTTTCTTAGTTTACTAAACCCAAAGAGAATAGAATATATATTAGAGGGGAAATTACTAGAAAAAAGTGTAAAACGGCCATTTTGTTGTACTGTTTCCATACTGCAGGTGTACTTAATATATTTTTGCTGTATAACCTTTTGGGCCCTGGAATATCATTTTATAGAAAATCTAAAATTAATGTTAAAATAAAACCAAATTATGAAATAGGCTGGTTTCATAATTGATCAATGATCATTTCACAAAGACTCTATGCCTTTTTACTTTACAAACGATGATTTTCCGTTATAACTATAAATCAAATGATTTTTTATTCACTTAATTCATTATAAAGTTTATTTAACAGCTTTAAAAAATTCGAAATTGAAATGGATAGTCTAGGGAACATAGTGTATTATTGTACTCTACTGCATATAATTTGTGAACATTTACATGATTTGTACACTTTGAAATCCCTTACAGGCTGAAAGAGACTGAAAAAATTCATACCGAAAGATTCTCTAAATTCCTCTCTAATATATATTCTATTCTCTTTGGCTAATTCACTTTCTATCCCATCAGACTATAATCAAAGACAGAAACCAAAATAAATTATTCAGTTCATTTTATTTAAGGAGTTTCAGGTCGTCAATAAAACCTCATTCTTTGTGGGTATCCCTGTAGGCAAATGTTGACTATCAGATCCAGCAGAATAATCAAAATATATAAGGTCTACGACATCAGGTTGCAGATTACCCTTGTATATCTTTAAAATTTGATGGTGTAACCTTTTATATATCAAACTTAGACTTTTTGATCGAGATCGAGAGCGAGATCGAGTTATAAAAGTTGTGTGACATCAGGTTGCAAAGATGAAAGTATTCTAAAATTAGAATTTGAGTAAAGTGTTCATATCTTTTGTCTTCATCTCATGGTGCAGAAAATAGTTTTATTGTATGATCCAATCTTTTGAAACTTAAACGAGTTGTTAAGCTAATAAAGATCAAGGAAATGCACAACTCTAAAGGATTTGTTTTTGCAATTTGTTTTTGGTAAAAATTGAACACATTTCAGTTCCTGTGAACTTCAATCCTTTGCAGAGAATTTCTAACAAAATATTTCAAACTTTTACAGTCCTCAGGAGTGAAATTACGAATTCCTAAATATTTTGGAACTTTCATTTTAAACTTTTTCTTTTTGAAACAAAAAATAAGATTTATTTTCCTAATCTATGCTGGTACACTGTAGGACTGGAAGGGGGGTCTCTGGAATTGATAACTAATTGTGTCAGGCTTGGTACTTTAGTCCCTCGAGACACGGGTCCCACCACATCAAATTTAGAAGTCTCGTCTGAATAGTAATCATATTGTGTCCTGTCTTTGTGCCCTTGTACTGCATCACTTTTCCCCCTGGGCAAATTATTGTTTGCCCGCTGAGGTATTGCATCACTTGCCCCGTTGTCCGCATCAATAGCGTGACCGGGGGAAAGTGATTGATACGTCTGAACCGGTTCCAAACCAAGACGAGAAAACGTCTTATCCCCTCCATGGCTAGAAATTGTATTAGTGGCAGAGATATGTACTGATTTCTCCCTAGATACTGAAGGAGAACGTTTGTCGTCTTCCTTATTGAATCCAGATCTGACGTGATACCGCGAGTCCGCGGCATGCCGCGCGTGCCGAAATATTGATTTCGTTTGATTGATTCCATTTTCTAGAGATGCTATCTTAGTTGTTTCTTCAACCTGAAATAAATACAGTATTTAAAAATAGATTTTCGAATAAATTGAAATTAATGAAGATATTAAACGTAAAATAAACATGTCTCATGCAAAGTTCTTTTCTAAAAATATCATCAAGCAAATCCCGAAATTCTGGTAAATCAATCTTGATGGAAAAAGTTTTCAGTTTTTGCATTTTTCTTTCTTTTAATATCTGCTCAATAATATTTTTCAAGGGTTAAATATTTCTTTTTGAATGCTGGAAAATAGAAAAACATTTATTTTTATTTTAAAGCATTATATTTAGGAAAGCATTTCATTACGATTCTATTATTGTTATATATTGAGTAAAATGCAATATGTGTAAACGTTAAGGTGTTTTTTAATTCACGCGTTTCTGAACAACCCATTTATTTCTTTCATATTTCACTTTTTGTTTGTTTGGTTTATTTAACGATTGGTCAACCCAGATGTTTGTTCAGTCGTGCATTGAAAGATGTATGCCAATCAAATTTTCTCTTTTTCTTGATATTTTAAACAATGGCCTCAAAAATTCATTTTTATTTTCCAGAAACTCTTTATTCAAAAAGAAGGGCATATCCCATTTCATAACTGAAACCCCTGAAACCCTAATCAGAGCTAGTGACTTGAAAAGTGTTTAATTCTTATAATTTCGCCATTATTAACTGAAGCCAAAACTGTGCAAATCACTTATGTAGAAAAGACAAAAAGAAAAAAGTACAGTTTTCAAAAACAAAACATGAACATATATCTGATTCATACTCGATCAGGGTACCGTTGTGAATAAGGAATGTAGGTCTGTATCTATGAAGAATGTCTTTATATTATGTCACAGTCCCTCAAAGCCTTGATTACAGAATCAGAAAGGAAAAAAGGAGAAAATTTATTATTGATCATAAAAAATGACACGCTTAAAGTTTTTAAAAATGAAACGCAAAACTCATAAATATTTAGAGAAATAAAAATTGTTTCGAACTAATATACAGAAAATTCGGTTTCCTTAGATACTGAACCAAAAATAAAAAATAAACTATTTTTCATTTGTTCATAATCTTTCATTTTTCTCTCAGCAACTAATTGATATGCCGCAGTCCAGTGGTAAAAGAAAACAAATCTTCTCTCCTATTTATTATTAATAAAGTGTATGCAGTAGTGTATAACATAAACCTTGAAGAGAATAACTGAGTTTGCAAACTATTCCAGGGGAGATTGAAGAAAAAATACGTAGTTTAAATGAACTGTATCTTTGTATGGAGGTTCAATTGAACCTCCATACAAAGATCGTAACACCTGATTCACAACTGTACCCTTAAACTTGGTCTCAACAAGTATAAATCAAATATCTTTGTTTATAATATTTTAACAACTAATCGTTTTCATTGAGAACCACAATAGTTATTTCATACTGCAGTGTTTAGCATATATTGATCAGATAAAGATTTAAAGGGTACCGTTGTGAATCAGACATTGTTATCTTTGCATGGAGGGTCACTTGAAATAGCGCGTACAGTCCCTTTAATTAACCCTCCCTTTAGAGAGTGGATATACTATAATCAACAAATAGTTGATCTGATTCAGAACTGGTCTAATTTTTCTTTTTTTAAATAAATTAAAAAAATTTTCTTATGTTTTAATTTTTGAACAGAACCATTTGTTTGAATTGATGTATAAACTATAAAGTGTGTTGTTCTCAAGATTAAACATTGATTCAAGAATTACAAATTAATCCAGAAAATGAGAAATTAAGCTCTGTAATCAATATGAACCCTGAGCAGTGAGCTCTAGGATCCTAAACCCATTAAACAATTAAGATATTTGAACCCAAGGGGGGGAGGTTAAAGAGAGTGTAAGCTTAGTTTCAAGTAATTTCAATGCATTTACGGCAGTGAACGATTTACAACCCTAAAAAGCTTTATCTGCTCAAGTATGAATTAGATATCCATGTTTTAGCATCTTTTCACTATTTATTTTCATTTGTGGATTCTTTGCATTAAATAACTTTCACATTTCTTTCTTATGAGTAGCAATGGAGAAATTATAAGAATTAAACACTTTTCGAATCAGGAAAACGACTGTATCTTCCACATTTTTGATCAGATTAAGGTTTCAAGGATACCGTTTTAAATCGGTAATTGTCATCTTTGCATGGAGGGTCACTTGAAATTACGCTTACTATCCCTTTAAAACCAAAAAAAACAGATGAAAAGGAACGGGAGTTTTACACAAAACGGGCATTCTTAACACCCCTTTAATTCGCGCCTTTTTTTGGCATCCTTTATGTTTGATTATATCTTTTACTCTTTTTAATCTTTTCTTTGTAAAGTCGTCTCTGCTTTCTTCGATTCTTTTGCAAACATAGTATGTGTTAGAATTAAAACATTTGTTCTGCTGATAAAAATCTTCAATTAAATTCTATTTAAAATTCAAAATAAGATAGATAGTTGAAAGCTTAGAAAAGTGTCCTTTATTTTTTTACCATATTTTAGAGAAAATTGTGAGGAGGAAGCAGTCCAATTTTGATAAAGTTTAATCTAGGCATATAAAATCATTTCTGTTTCTAAGATTTCCTTTTTTGATATTTTTGATAATGTGAAATCTTTTTTAAATGTTGGGGGAAATTGATCAAATTTAAATTTAAATAAAAATTTTATAACAATAAAAATTCCTTATTTTCTGAAGTTCAAACCCCAAAAAGCTTCCGCTGTGAGACTTATTCTAGGTAACCCAAACAATAGACGAATAGCTTTCTTTTTGAGGAAGATATCGTCGTTTCGTATCAAAAGACTATTTGTACAAATTAAAGTGGAGAATGGTCGAGTTTTAGCCAGAAGAAAAAGACATTTCATTCATCCATTCTCCGTCAAAGGTTTTGAGGAATTACATTGCAGTGAATCCAACATAACTCGACATGGAGAGTCACTTTATATTGCCTCTACAGTCTCTTTAGGGGAAAATATTGAGGGAAAGATGTTGGGACAGAGATTGAAGGAGGGAGGGGGAGGTAAACAATTGGAAGGGGGGGGGGTAGAAACAGAAAATGGAGGAGTAAAAACAGAAGAGGGGGAGGAGGAGGTAGAAAAAGACGAGATGGGTAAGGTAGACACAGAAGAGGGTTGAAGGAGAGGAAGAAACAGAAGAGGAAGAAGGGAGAGGTAGAAACAGAAGAGTGGAGGAAGGTAGAAACAACAGAGAAAGAAAATAGAAACAGAAAAAGGGGGAAGATTGAAACAAAAGAGAGGGGGAGGTAGAAACAGAAGAGAGGAGAGGGTGAGTTAGAAAGAAGAGGGGGGGAGGGGAGGTGGGGATAGCAGTCCCCTAGGATCAGATATGTAAATATGGTAAATTGAGTTGGAGAGTTCTTCTATTATATGAATAAAACACAATTCCAGAAATCAAGAATTGTTTTACTTTTTTGCGTTTAAAAAATACATAGATCTTACCAGACGCATTACGACCCCCTGGGTAGTCTGATAACAGCCCCTGATCTGTACATCCCTGTACAGAACCTAGTACGTACTGCACCAACCTGGAATGAAAAGAATCTCATCAAAAATTAATCTAAATCTACATCTAACAAATTAACGTCAAAACGGCTGAACCGAATGGACTTAAATTTTGTGCCCGGAATGTAAATGGGGAAATGATTTACAGGTATCGCTTCAAAAATGCTAAATGTGTCAATTTTTTAAAAATTCACATTTAAGGAAAACAAAATCCGCAAAATTTGTTGTTATTTTCTTAAAATGCAAAGAAAAGGATTTACAGAAATATAAGTAGCAAACAGCTAAAAATTAACGAATGAAGGGCCCCGTAAAATTAATATAATGAGCATCATCTTATCAACTAATAAAAAGATAGGATTCTATTTTTATTTCTTGTATGTAAAAAAACTAGCGCAGGTAAAATTTCGAAAAGAAAAAAAATACAAAAAAACTTTTTTTGCTTAGTTATTTCACTTTATTCTTAGTGTTAACTTTAAGCTGGCAAGTTATTACACTGCAGAATCATAACAACCGTTCTAACAATTTCAAACTTTTATGTTTCAAATTGAGAATCATTCTAACATTCAAAGATAACCATAAAACTATTGAATAGGAAGGCGCCAGTAAAGTAATATTTAAGATTATTTGATGTTGTTATTTAAACAGCAAATAGTTTTACTAGTAACTTGTTAAATCACGTATTATGGTAACTGGGTCTGTTTTCACTACTCAATTGATTTTGACTCAAGCTCATTAGACCATCTAAAGACATAACTTGACTCTTGAGTGAGTCTAGTTAGAAATTCTGATTCTAACTATACAAAAGTTTACTTTCATGTTTATAAAATTATAATTTTTCATGAAAAACTTATTTTTTTAGTGTAAGCGTAGTTTTAAGCAACCATCCATCCATGCAAAGTTGTTGTTTTTTGTTTAAAATTGCTTTATTCTAATGGTTCACATATGTTTTCCTGCAGTAGAAATGCGCAAGTCATTAGAGAAACCACAATTGTAAATAAATAATTTACAAAATTAAACATGAATATCTAATTTATACTTGATCAGACAAAACTGTTAAGGGCACCGAAATGAATCCGACATTGCCATTACACTCCCATTAAAGAAGGTTTTTGAGTTGTATAATTCAAACAAATCAACAAAAAAACAATAGACATAATAAAAACTTTTCTTTTCTGTGATAGCTATCTATATATACAGTCTTTTGAAGAGATGAGTTTTATCTTAATAAATAAACAATATTTTTGTTTTTCTTTTCTGATAGTTTTAGATTTAAGATATTATAGTTCTATTGACAATGTTTATGAATCGGCCATTTCTGAATGAAAATGAATAAGCACATTTTAGAAACGTTGTATTATATAGAACACACAAAAAGATTATCAAGTACAATAGGTGGCATCAGAGAAATTGACTAATTATACACTACGTCACAATTGTCAAATATATCAAGGAAAACTTAATTTTCTCACGTTAGCCAAGATTAAATAAAATATTGTTTGACACAAAAACTGAATTGACACTTGTGACGTCATAAGACAGCTGTACTGAGAAAACAGGAAAATGTGCTTTCATCTCCCTAAACGTTGTTTATAAGGGTTAAGTACTAGCCTTAGCTTTTATCTATAAGTGCTGACTGTACAAATCGACATTTTTTAAGCTAAATTTGGTTATTCACTTGCAAATTTTTACATAAAATTGATAATTTTAAACAAAGAATATTTAAAATAATTTAAAATTATAATTCTCAGTTGAAAAATTATGATTTTGCGAACATTTTATAACCATGAACAAAGAAGTGTCGATAATTATTTTTTTTTCTGGTGCCGGAAAAAAATTATAGATATGTTTTAGTTTCATATCTATCTCTGTCTAAATACTTTGCTTGTTTGTCTGTTTGTTTGTATCCAATAAACGTCAAAACGGCTTGACCGATCGGGCCCAAATTTTTTGTGGGACCTGTCATGACCTGCAGGGATGATCTAATTTTAAAAATTTACCTCTAACAAAATTCGATTTTTGAAAATGTTGAAAATCCATGAAGTTTTTTTTTACAATGTATACAAAATGAAAATGTTCACAATTGAAATAGAAGATGTGGGCGAAGTGCCCTAAAAGCTTAGTATATATATAAAGTTGTAATCTCTGTTCGTTCGTATGTCCGATTATAACTCATAAAACCATGGACCGATTTGACTCAAACTTTGATTGGGAAACTCGGGAATGTGTTAAGCTTGATTCTAAGTTAAGTGGGCCGTTTTTTATTGTGAAAAATAGCTAAAATAGGAACTTATGACTAAACGCGAGTAAACGGCGGGAGTAACTATGAGTACTCTGGGCAACGCTGGATCAAGCGACTATACATATATATATATTATATATCTATTAAAAACTAGCAATTTATCCTAATTTCCTGTAAAAGTTGAGATTCTAGATTGAGGACATTAATGTTTATTTATTTGAAGATTCTCTACATTGCTGGTGTTTTGCACAAGAAAATTACTATAGAAGGTTCTAGATTAACAATAAAATATATAATATATACAAGACTTCACATACAGGACTTCAAATACAGGACTACATATAAAGGACTATAAATACAGGACTTCACATAAAGGACTTCAAATACAGGGACTACATATACAGGACTATAAATACAGGACTACACATACAGGACTACACATACAGGACTACACATACAAGGGACTACATATACAGGACTATAAATACAGGACTACACATACAGGACTACGCATACAGGACTAAAAATTCAGGACTAAAAATACAGGACTACACATACAGGGACTACCCATACAGGGACTAAAGATACAGGACTATAAATACAGGACTTCATAAACAGGACTACACATACAGGGACTACATATACAGGGACTACACATACAGGACTACACATACAGGGACTACATATACAGGACTATAAATACAGGACTTCATAAACAGGACTACACATACAGGGACTACATATACAGGGAATACACATACAGGGACTACACATACAGGGACTACATATACAGGACTATGAATACAGGACTACACATACAGAACTACAAATACAGGACAAAAAATACAGGACTATAAATACAGGACTAAAAATACAGGACTAAAAATACAGGACTAAAAATACAGGACTGCAAAACAGGACTAAACATATAAGACTACAAATACAGGACAAAAAATACAGGATTGCAAAACAGGACTACACATACAGGACTACAAATACAGTATAACAAATACAGAAACCGCCCATTGCCCCTAATGCTTGGTTTCTATATGACAGAAACCGCCCATTACCCCCTAATGCTCGGCTTCTTTAAGGCAGAAACTAAGCATTACCCCTAATACTTGGTTTCTATATGAAAGAAACCAAGCATTACCCCTAATGCTCTGTTTCTATATGACAGAAACTAAGCATTACCCCTAATGCTCGGTTTCTACTAGACAGAAACTAAGCATTACCCCCTAATACTCGGTTTCTACAAGGCAAAAACTAAGCATTACCCCTAATGCTCGGTTTCTACAAGACAGAAACTAAGCATTACCCCTAATGCTCGGTTTCTATAAGGCAGAAACCTCCCATTACCCCTAATGCTCGGTTTCTACAAGGCAGAAGACAAGCATTACCCCCTAATACACTGTTTCAAGGACGAGAAAGAGTTAGAGCTCCCCAACTGAGAACATGTTTCAGAACCCCAACTGTAATAGGGAAAAACTCCCTTTGGTGCAATTTTAGAGCTAAACAAAAGAATAAAATGTGTAAATTAAAATCTGGTTGTTGCAATGTTTTCTTTCAATATTTAACCTAAACCTTTAAAAATAATTTATTTTCTATAATTCCGTCATAACCAGAATTTTCTTATTTACAGGGTAACCCTGAAAATGTGTAGAAGTAATTCCAAGGATGTTCGATACTTCCCCAAAGGCTTTTCCCCAAGCAGCAACTTCTCAAGGGTATTTGGCCAACTGGCAACTTTCAAAATCTTTGAAATTGCAATCTTCATTCTTTAAATTGTGATTGGTTAAAGTCCGTTTGAAATTCTGGTCTGAATATAATATTTGACTTTGTTTGATGTTTATTGGTTCCTGGAAGCAATTAATCTGAAATCAGGATCCTGAATAATTAGTTGAAAACAACTAAACCTGAACTCAAAACTTTAGATTTGGATATCCTTAATACTGATCGCTTAGTCTGAATATCCACTGTGGACACTTTCAATTTCTCTTAATCCGCTCTTTTGCCCTTTTTTCGGATAATGGATATCCCTACCAGATTCCGACCAAAGAGAATTTTCTCATTAAATGGCGACAAAATTTCGAATTTCCCGGCTTCTGACATGGTTTGTTAATCTTGGATGCGCCACTCTGAATTGTTAGTTTTGAAACTCGTTCCTGTATACAAACTAAAGATTGAATAAATCTTGAGATTAATAGAAATTCTAAGTTCGTTTAGCTCTGATCGTTCATCTAAACTCATATCAAATGGTTCAAACTTAAAATTTCTAGATAAAACCAACAATTTAAAAAAAAAAATTTATCTCTTTCTATCAATAATATATATATCTATCT